ATCAACACGCAGGTAAGGCAGGGTGCCCCAGCCCCCCGCAAAGTCCCAAATTGCCCAGCAGCCCCTCGGCCCAGCGGGCATGGGCTGCTGTCCCTGCAGCCTGCTGCTAGCCCCAGGGACTGTGCAGCCATCGGGGTGCAAAGCAGGGTCCCCGCTGAGCCGAGGAGCAGTGACGAGCGCCCCTCAGCCAGACCTCGCGCTATTGAAACAAGTAATTCGTCTTCGGCAGCTCCCCATGGACCTCTCATCTTTTGAGCGGCTTAATTATGAAACATCTCGGCTTTAATCATCAGAGAACAGGGTGCAGGGCAGGGCTGTGGCGCCAGAGGCGGGTGTTTTCCACCCGCTGGGTCACCTCTTCTCTTTCTGCCCGATGGTTTTGATGCGGGAGTGTGACCGATCGCCCAAGAGTGGCTGCGTTGGGCGTCGAAGAGGAGGCGCCGGGAGGAGGGGATGCGCGGGTTAGCCTTACTTGTCCTTGCCAGGTCCCCGCCGCGTTGTCAAAACAGGGCCCCCGAGGCCTCTCGCTGCCCTGTCACCCCGGAGCAAGAGCCAGGGCCCTGATCCTGCCCTTCCTGTGGACAAAGCAGGGGGTAACCTGCTGCAGCAGGAGCAAGGCGGTGGCGTAGGGCACAGTGTAGCGGTCGCACAGCAAGCCAGGCTGTGCCTTCTGCTCCGTCCCCAGCCGGATATTTGGTACGGTTGGGCTTTGCCGGAGACCTGACCCAGCTCTGACTGCCCAAAACCCCAGCAAAGCCAAGGCCTCCTGCCGTGTTGTGAGCACCCGGCACGTGCTCCGGGTGTTCCAGCCACCGATCAAGAGCCTGCTCGCCCGCTGCTGCCGGCCGGAGGTCACCTCCACCAGGGGCCTCATCTGGTGCTCGTCGGCCTTCTTCCCAGGGGAGAAGCTCCTTGTCCATCCGGGGTCCCTTGGCACCGACCCAGCAGAGCAGTTGCTAAAGTGAAGGAAAAGGGGTGCCCAAGGCCTCGCTGTCCCGATGTCCCTGCCACGGGCGGGGTGACCCCGGGCAACGGGATCCCCGTGCACAGCCCCCCGCCAGCCCGCTGGTACCCAGGTCCCTGCTGGCCTGGCGTTTCCTCCTCCCGGCTGCGTGGTGCCTTCCCAGCAGGGAACAGCTTGAGAGCAGCTCCTGTTTTCATCCTGGCAGACCCATTTTGCTTTCGTGTTGGAGTAATTACCCATCGGTTTTGATAGCTGTCAAGCCAGCCGCCCCCTCCCTTAATTCAGCCTGCAGCTGGGGACCAGCTCCAAGCAACTTATTCTTAATAATCATCGTCGTCACTTATTTATTAACCAGCAAGCGCTGCTGGATCCCTTCTGCCTCCAACGTGCGGGTGTGAGGATGACTCACGGGGCCCGCCGTGATCCAGGATCCCGAAACGTGCCGGGAGCCGGGCGCTCCA